CAGTTACACTTGGATCCTTGGCACCTGAGTATGGATATAAAGTCATCAGATAGATTTCAATGGTAATGTGATAAATCATTTTTTTATGTCTTTGGGAGCTGCTGAATAAAATGACATTACATATTGAAAAGCTCCATCTACATATTAGTTATCTTTGAAGTGATGTTATTTACAGAATAAAAGTATTTCACAGGTTCCTTTATTTTTTAAAATTTTATTCATTATTTTTATTTTATGTGTATGCTTGTATTGCCTGTGTGTAGGTAAAGTGCACATGTGTCGTGCAATGCCCACGGAGGTCAAAAGAGGCTGTCGGATCCCCTGGGACTGGAGTTACAGATAGTTGTTAGCTGCCATATGGGTGCTGGGATTCAAACCCAGGTCTTTAGCAAGAACAACCAGTGTTCTTAACCACTGACCCATCTCTCCAGCCCCTCACAGGTCCCTTTAAAAGCCCAAACCAACACTTAAAAAATTATGAATTCATTAATTATTCTTTGTAGAAAACTTGAACTAAAGTCAGTTTCCCAAACCAAGACATTTTAGAATATCAGATTAAAACCATCACAAAAATATGTATCTGTGGAGCTTCGCTTACAGCAGTTAGCCAGCCGCCTGGGGTGCAGGCTGGTCCTGCGGGAGGCTGCTCTGAGCAGTGGCCTTGGTGAGGGGTGGGTGAGGTGTTCCCAGTGCTGGCTTCTCATACTTTTGTGCTTTAAAAAGGGAGTTGTAATAAATTTAGGAATCTTCTCAAACTCACTATAACTTTCCACTCCGTCTATTTCCGTGTCTCACATGTGGGGACGGGCCGTGGAAGTGTCTCCTGAAGGTCAGAACAAACCCACCTTCCTGTCCTGGCATGGTGGCACAGCAGTTGGTGGAAGGAATGTCTGAGAATTGTGACGGTGGCAGACTCTGAACCCCTCAGCACTTCTCAGCAGCATTTGAAAGCAGAAGCACCTGCTTAAGTGTAGGACAGGGCTGTGGATTAAGCACCTGTGATGATCTCGAAGATCCACGTCATTCCAGATAGACAAGCATTCACAACTGCCAGGATATAAATACCATTCACTTTTTAAAACTAGCATGGATCAGTGTTTAGACGCAAAAATACTTTGGATTTTTTTTTAACCTATTTTTGATGTCTAAGCATTTCGTAAAAGTGACTTCTGAAGACGTGAGTCCACTTTGGCCCTAGTACTGAATCATTTGCGTCTTCTTTAAGATGAACTTTTGTCAAAAGTGGATACATTGAAAGTAACCTTTATGTCTATAGAAAACAAGAAGCAAACCATGCTTTGTGTGAGCAAGCTCAGAGCCTTTGACTGATTGGCTTTGGGGCTGAATGCCAGGACTAATTCTCAGCCTTGCTTCAAGCCACTTTTAAGCCAGTTGAGATGGAAGCAGAGTCCTCAGAGTCCCCTGCGGGCCCCTGCTTGGCTGGAGCTTGAGGGACACTGACAGTCCTTGAGGCAATGTCTCACCCTCTCTCCCACACCCTCCTGGCCTGTTCAGATCCCTGACTGCAGAGGAGGCTCAACAGAACACTGGGGGTCCCTCAGAGACCTTTCAGACTCCGTGGTGCCACACCATGCACTGTTCCTAGCACTGTGTCTGTGAGATGCTCTGCAGACAAACTGTGGAAGCCCCCAGACAGCATTCCTTGCTTGTCTCCGCTATGCAGCCCAGAGCTGCGTTCCTCAGAAGTCCGTCCTCACCATTAGATGAATGCTTACAAATACAGAGATGGGGAGAGGGATGTCTACAGGCTCCTGTGTGTGTCTGCACTATGTAGAAGCAGTGATTTTAAATTGAGTAGCTGACTCTGGATTTTGGTTCACCTCTGGTGTCTTAGTTTGCTTTCTGTTACTGTGATAAACACCTTGGCCCAAAGTAAGTTGAGGAAAGGGTTTATTTCATCGTAAAACTCCCAGGCTGGGGCTGGAGAGGCTCAGCGGTTAAGAGCACTGACTGCTCTTGCAGAGGACCTGGGTTCAATTCCCAGCACCCATATCGTGACTACGAACCATCCTTAACTCCAGTTCCAGGGGAATCCGAAGCCCTCTTCTGACCTCCATGGCATTGCACAACATGGATGCGCTCACATACGTGCAGGCAATACACTCATACACATAAAATGATAAGAATAATAAATAAAATATTAAAAAACAACTCCCAGGCCACAGTCATTACTGAGGGAAGTCAGGGCAGGAACTCCAGGCCGCGACTGTGTCTGTGAGATGCTCTGCAGACAAACTGTGGAAGCCCCCAGACAGCATTCCTTGCTTGTCTCCGCTATGCAGCCCAGAGCTGCGTTCCTCAGAAGTCCGTCCTCACCATTAGATGAATGCTTACAAATACAGAGATGGGGGGAGGGATGTCTGCAGGCTCCTGTGTGTGTCTGCACTATGTAGAAGCAGCGATTTTAAATTGAGTAGCTGACTCTGGATTTTGGTTCACCTCTGGTGTCTTAGTTTGCTTTCTGTTACTGTGATAAACACCTTGGCCCAAAGTAAGTTGAGGAAAGGGTTTATTTCATCGTAAAACTCCCAGGCTGGGGCTGGAGAGGCTCAGCGGTTAAGAGCACTGACTGCTCTTGCAGAGGACCTGGGTTCAATTCCCAGCACCCATATCGTGACTACGAACCATCCTTAACTCCAGTTCCAGGGGAATCCGAAGCCCTCTTCTGACCTCCATGGCATTGCACAACATGGATGCGCTCACATACGTGCAGGCAATACACTCATACACATAAAATGATAAGAATAATAAATAAAATATTAAAAAACAACTCCCAGGCCACAGTCATTACTGAGGGAAGTCAGGGCAGGAACTCCAGGCCGTGACTGAAGCAGAGACCATGGAGGAATGCTGCTCACTGCTACCTTTGCAACCTAGACCCGCCTGCCTAGGGATGGCACTACCCATGGTGGGCTGGGCCGCCTGCATCAATTAGCAGTTAAGAAAATGCCCCACAGACACAGACACAGCCCAGTCTGACAGAGGAAGTTTCTCCATTGAGGTTCTCTGTTCTCTATGTCAAGTTGACAGAAACCAGCACATCTGGCAAGGCGAGCTGGGGAGCAGACTGGACACCTGTCACATGCTTGTTGCTGTTCAGTGGAGGGACAGTGACAGGACACCCCCAGGACTTGGTCTTCTAGTGGAGGAAGGTTGAGACACAGGCGTGCGCATCCTTGGGGCTTGTCCTGCCACAAGGCTTAGAGCACTTCCAGGCAGCATACCCCACCCCTGATACCCACCACCACTGCTGCCCGAGTCACTGCAGGGGCGCTTCTCTTCCTTACCTAGGGCACCAGCGTCTGTCTGTCACAAGCCTGCTTGTCTGCCATGGTTTGCTAATGGTTGGCACCAGCCTGGGTGTTGTCGTGGCTCTGCCAGTCCCTCGCCTGCAAGGTATCCCCAAAGTGACAGGTAAGTGGACACCACTGCCCATCCCTCCTTTCCATGTGGGACTTCTGGTGCACTATAGGGACTTAGCAAACGTGACACCCCATTCCATGTTCCATTCGTTCTTCTTATGTTGACGGCCCAGGAGAATCAGCCCTGAAAACACGTTCCATGGTGCCTTTACTGTCTGTTAATTCCTGGTAGAACATGGGGTTTTGCTCCATGGAAATGGATGTAGAGAAGGAAGCGAGGCTGCACGTGCTCTGTGCAGGTTTGCTTCTGGTTGGCAGTGCACATTGGGTAGCTGCTCTGGGAAGCAGCTCACCATCATGGGTCTCAGGGCTTCCACCTCAGGATGCTGCTCAGGAAGGTCCTAGCCAGGAGCAAAACATGACAGAAAGATGGCACCATGGTATTTATATTTTAGTAGCACAGAAAAAAGACAACCCAGTGTTCAAATGAGAGATGGGAAGAGTCAGAAAGTGATTGTTTCGTCATCAGTCGAAAGGCATCAACGGAATCACCTTGGCCAAGGGCTGTTACAGGTTCCCCTAGTGCCGATGCTGTAGGGAACCTGTGGGTGGTCCCGTCTTTATGCAGTTATACCGTCTAGGAATGTAGAAGAGGAATTGGAAGGCAGTCAGCAGCGTCTTAGCAAGGACTCCTGTTCCCTCCTGTTTTTACCTGGGACGTCCCAGTCTGCCTCCAGCTGCCTCTTCCCTCCCACATCTTCTGACCCTGTGGGAGTGTGTCTGTGTCTGTGGTGTAGACATACTTGTAAGTTTTAGTGCCTCCTGCCTAGTAGGATTAAAAGATGCCTGGTTCATTCATAGTTCCCACCCTCCTCCTTCCCCTCCCTCCCT